TAAAACTGTAAGAAGGGAAGTAAAATGTCGAGTTCCACTTCCCTTCACCTAGGACTGCTAGAAATTGAGGTAGGACATTTGGAATCATCTGCAGAAGAGTTCATCCTTGCTGTACAATAAAGTCAAAGTTCTGACATGTGGTAATGAAAAATAATCTTTCAAGAAACACATTCATGGAGCAGCCCCACAAAGGCCATGGCAGCTACATAGATACAGGCTTCATTTTATGTAGAATATATCAGAGTTGGGAACTGAAATCAGCCTCATGGCATGAGGTTTGGAGAGGGAAATCTAGCTCTTCCTTGAATCATGTTTATTTCAGCCTTCTTCCACATTCTCCTTTTCTTCATGCAGGAGAAAATCTCAAGTATAACCTACACACTTATTTATAAAGTTAACATATAGCAAATATTAAATATATAAAACTTAATGCTACCTGCATATATATTCCATCAAAGAGGAAATGAATTCGTTTGTGTTTTTCTAAGTGTTGATATGTTGATGATCTTGACTGCTCTATGAACGTTGCCACTGACAAATTCCTTAGAATTATGCAACATTATGTGTTGCACCTTCTTCTTACTGTGAAAACCACTAGATTGTATGACATTCCAGCAATATGAGTATATGGATGAACACGTTATCTTGGAGAACATCATTTAAGCATCTCAGTGAAGGATTTAATACATACTTGCAATAGTGCAACTGATTCTTCCACGCCCAGCCCCAATACAAGTACAGTCCCAGATCATGGAATCCTTTGGCCGTTCATAGGTTTCCCCTACTCGGTAAGTAGTCCCAGTGTATTTATCAAAACAGGTTTCTTCCGCTGTATAGGAAAAAAAAATCACCATAGATAAATTTACAACTTGCAGCTTCTAATCTCCTTTCCCTGCCTCATTCATAGGGGCACACACACAAAATTAATGGTGGCATTGACTACTATTGTTATGGTAGTGACAAGCAGAAGGCTTTTTGGATGATAATGGTGTAGCTAAAAACAAAGAATAGGAGAGGTGCTTGGACCAATGAAAGAAGAAATAAAGCTGAAAAATCCACATTAACAGTAGAAGGGAGTTTCCAGGCAATTGGAACATTTGTATGAAAGTTCATTTTTTAAAAAAAGTGGAGAAAACAATAAAGACAAATGCATTTGATTAAGAGATACAGAACAGTTCAAATATGTGTTTAAAATAATTGGTCAACTATTTAATCCCTCGCTAGATTAGATTATAGGAACAAGTCTTGTTATCCAAAGGACTGTCACACAAGTCTTCTTAAGCTTCAAGTCTGTCGAGATGAACTGAAACTGGAGGCATCTGTCAGTATCCTACTGTCATGGTTAAACTATTTCCCAGTGAAGTGTCCTTATTTGCCTACATACAAGCAAAAAGATCCATTAAGACACTTTGCTCCTAAGAGACTTTTTAGGCAATAGGGATGGTATTCTTGCCCAAGTTCTAGTCACTTTATGGAATAGAGACAAAATGAGATGTCATTAAAATTGTTCTGAAATACTCTATCACTGCAGAACTCAGAGAGTCACAAGTAAATATAGAAGCAAGACTGGTAACAGCACATTTTGCCACAGCACATTATCAAGAAGACAAGATAGGTAAACCATGTGGCAATAAAGAAACAAAAATTATTTTCTGCTACTGCCACTGCAATGTCAGGTAGCCATCAGGAAAACTATTTTTGTCAGGGGAAAAAGGCTTTTATTGTACTGGAACCTACAGAGACATGTGTGATATATCTGCAAGGTAGGTTAATAGATAATATTATTTATTGCTGTGCAAGTCTGTTATCTGATGCTCTGATTAATCTGGTTCTATGGGATTAGTTTCGGCTTTTAAAATCTGGATATGTCAGCAGACTGTTAGAAGCTATGTTCCCAATAACACATCCTTTTCAGACCTCCCCATTATGGCTGACTCATTTAAGTTGGATAGATTGCCTAGATGAATCTAATAAATATATTTTATAGGAGAAGCAATAAATGCCAGATATGTTAAAGGAAGTGATAGTATGGCTTCAAGAAACCCACAGGAGATGCTGAGTTCTTAAAAGCAATCAATCAGTTGCTAATATCCCCTTAGGAACTATTTGTGCAGTTAATGTGATACAGCTCAAACATTCCTGGAAGAAATAGACTCTCTGGATCTATTCCAGTCTGGGCACAAGCATGAATATGATCAAAACAAACTTGGTCTCCTAAATGAATCAGCCATGAAGATTGGGAATTCGAGGCAGAATGCTACAGCGATTCAGTTCCTGCTGACAAGACTGACACATCTAAGGCAGGGGTTCAAAGCAGACAAGATCCAATGTCATCATCAAAGATCTGTCTTTTATTCATATGTTCAATATGAACACATGAATACATACAAAAAGTAAATCTTGGATTTCACATCTAAATTACCATCCTACATGTTTCGACACAGATAACCTCAGATATTTAGATGATAATATTATACAACACTTGCAGGACAATTAAGTACTGAGGTGCAATTCTGCTAAATACAATGTTACAGAGAGAATGTGAGAGATGATGCCCACGGAGAGGGAGATGGTGAGAAGGATTATAGGCAGCATTTCTCCGGAAGGAGGGAGCACACTCCAGAAAGGGGGAAAGATAAGAGGCAACCCAACCTACAGATGAATTGAAGACAGAGGAAGAGAATTAGCATAGCCAGTCCTTAGAATCTCCCAGGGTATATCCATTAGCTGAGAGGATTTAGTCTGGAAAGATTCTGTCTATTATGCGTAAGCAAATAATAGCTGAACCCTGACTTAACTGTTCCACATCGTTATTGGGCTTAGCCTGACATATAAAGAGAAAGGTCCATTTGGAGTAAAGTTCTGTTAATGACACCCAACACTAATAGTCTGTAATCAGGGAAAGTCTGACCAGCAACTAAATGCGGCAATAGGATGGATGAGGATCAGTAAAGAGTAAAGAACCCTAACAAGGCAGAGTCACCGTTGGTAGCACCTTGGTTCAGTAGGTAGAGGCTGCCTATCGTGAATGGGATTGTACCGTCACTAAAAGAGCAGGTCTGTACTCTTAGAACAATTCTATAGTCATATTTGTTAGTGGATGCACAAATGGTCTCTGATAAGGAACATCTTTGACCAAAGCTGTCTACTTTGTCCCTGTAGCTGTTTGGGGTTAGACTAGTCATAGTTTTATGCACTAGAAACCTAATGGCTAAAGTACTGGAATGCATTTGATAAGAGACAGTTTTTGAGGCTGGAAATGAACTTACCATTAGAGTGGAATGCCTTGGCTAGGTTCCTCTAAGCACAAGACAGCATGAATATATTACATCTATTTTGAAAGCTTCCTATTATCACAATGTTTCTGTGGTAGTATACAAAATGTTTGTAATCTGTTGTAATTTCCAATCATTATCTTATTTCTGTAATTATATAGTTTTATTATTCTATCTTATTGTATCTCCAATTTGGTATTACTTTAATTAACACAGGGACATGAAAACTTATAATTAATAAATTTAATCTGTTTAATAGCTTTTTTCAGTAGCATGAGTAGAATTTTTTCTTTGTCTTGACAATTTTTGGAAATGTTCTTTTTCCTTTGCTTCAAAATATTCTCCATAGCAAATCTGATCTGTCAGCTTTCTTTTTCTCCTCTAGTCTTATTGCAGCATTTTCTCTAACATCCTATCTTATGTGGGGGTGTCCTTCCATGCAGAGCTATCCTGTAGAGCAGGCATGTCAAACTCACGATGTCACATGATATCGCGCGACATATCGCGACTTTTTCCCCATTGCCGGCAATGGGGTGGGCGCGGTTTCGTCGTGATGCATCCGGCCCGCAGCTGTAGAGCATTAGCACTCTGACTTCTTTCTGACAAGGCAAAGTCAAACCTTTTCAAAAAGCCAAACAGCAGAGCTTAAGGGGCCAACGAGTCCTCTTCAGTGTGGATAGCCTCTGAAGGTTCCTTTTAAAGTTATGTAAAGCAAGAGATCCAGGGACAAAGCTTTCTTAAGAGATAGCTTACCTATTGCTATTTAGCTGTAATGGGTAGAAAAATGACCTTAAAGAACAGGAGGAAGAGCAGCTACTAACTAACAGTCAGATAAAAGAACCCTGAGTCCAAACTGGAAGCTGAGAAAGCACCTCTGACAAGACTCTCATTAGTTCTCATGACGATGAAGGGAGTCGGGGAGTGCATTTAGACTTGTACGTTTTGTTTTTCTAATCTTATCATAAAATTAGCCTGAATGACTTCCGTTTCCTAATCTGCTCTACATTGACATTATATGTCTGTACAATGCATAGAATATATCAAGGAATACAAGTCTCTCTGAATTCATCTGATTAAAAACAAGGGTACTAGAGAAGCTTGATATAAATTATCTGTGGGTCACAGAATATCCCGCAGGATTTTCTACAATACCTGGGAGCTCCCAGTTGTAACCACTAAGATTTACTGATAGATTAAGCAGTTCTTGAGTCAAATTAGTGTGAAAACTACAGTAGGAATAATCTGTTGCATAAAATAATACAATGTTTGTCCAGGATATTCCCAATCTGCAGTAGATAGGAACAGTCAGGAACAGTCAGAAATTGACAGACTTGGAGCTTGAACTGTAAAAAATACAGTAACAGTAACCTGTCTCAGCAGAAATGTTAAATGTGGATGCTGCCTTTTCTAAGAGCTAAAAACAGGATATATCTATACATGTAAATATCTATTTTTTATTTTAGAAAAAAAGAGGTTCTTGGCCAGAAGTTTGTCAAACGATGCATCCAACTTACGCTCAGGCTTGCTTTCACAGCTGAATCCTCGACTGCCACCATAGCAAGTGCAGACTAGAGGGTTCCCCAAGTAAATGCGTTCCCACTGCTGGTTTATCTGATAATGTTGTCCATTGTCATAGCATCCCTCTGAGAAAGAAATAGCACTGTTTAATTACATCCTGTCATCCAGGCTGATTGTGGCTTTCCTGGTAAGGAGAAAGCATGTGGAGAAGAGAGCAGTGTCAGCCCCTAACATGCATGGAATATACATTAACTCCTGGCCAGACATTCCTTCTACGTCTTGAAACCTCTGTATAATTTGCTGTTAAATGCAGGCAAATCAAGACTGGAGTTAAACTCAAAACAGTTCCATCCGTCTCTTGTTTAACTGTGTTTTAAATGTACAGAATTAAACCACTAGAGATTTCACATTCTGGAGCAGCATGTTAACAGCTGGAAAAGATTGCTCAACTGGGAGGCTTAATCCAATGCTTCATGAAAGCCTATGGAAAGACCCCAAAAGGTTTGAAAGAAAGTTTGGCTATCTTCCCTAAGCCAAGTTCTTGCCAAGTAGAACTAGTCTCCATGTTTTTATTTCCAAACCTTTTTCCCAACTTACATTTACAGCCTTTACAGCCTTACCATTTCCCGAGATGATTGCTTTAATGAAAAATCATATTTCTAAACAATTTTAAAAAGTGTTCTCAGCATCTCTTTTCTCAATTCTCACATTTTAAAATGAAAAAATATGCTCTAAACTTTTCAAAATTAATTCAAGCACGTTAATTTTAAAATCCATTTTTACAGCATGAAAAGATGAAGGATTTCCTCTCTTTTACTTTCAAGTCAATTATTTTAATATAGAAATTTCTGCTATTTTAACTTCTAGCTATCTAAAAACAACACAGATACAGTCAGAAAGATGCAGAAATTTTATTTAAATGTAGGCTTGTGCAAAGCCTTTGAAAGAGGTGCTCTGGAATGCTCTGGAGCACCTAGCAAGCATAACTCTTTTCTGAGCTGTTAATGCAGCTAGATCATTTTTCAAGCTCATGCAGTTGCTTTGGAGGATATTTCTCATGTTTTTTTTACAGTACAACAATCCTAAAGCCCTATAACAGGCCTTTGTCTTTCAGTAAGTGATTTTGCTTTGAGTCCTTCTGTAAGAAAAGAGAATAGAAATCTACTCATTCTAGATTATCTCATTTGTCTCTCTAGCTGGTATAGCTGCAGTGGAAAAAAAATGCAATGCTAACTACACCCTTCTTGAGTAATGTCTGGATTTCAGGAAAATTAAATTATCCTAAACCAGCAAATGTGTGTGAAAGAGAAATAGGCCAGAACAAGAATCCCCTTTCTTAGTAATGAAGAATACAACAGACCAGGGAGCCAAAAGATCACTATATATGCAAATAAGGTTTCCACCAGCAGGCCCTGAAATACAGAATTTAACCACCAAGAGTCCATCTCCAACTGGATTAAAAACCAAAACCAAAAAAAAATTGTCCTCCTAATATCTTCACACTTAATTTGTCAAATTGATGAGATAGTTTTGCTTCTCGCTGGTGTTAATGAGAAAAATAAGAAGAATTAAGAATTTCCACCCCAAAAAGAGCAAACTGGCAAAGCTTGGGAAAGTAGCAAATCTTCTACCAGATCTCCCCAAGAGTACTGTGCCCAATCTAATCAGGAGGCATTCAATACTCAGACATAATTCTCTCTGGGCTCAATGCAATATATACTCCAACAATAAATCTTAATTAGACTCAAGTGTCAAGGGAAACCCAAGCTTGAATTCCTTGGTAGAAAATCTGGATATAAATGCAATAACCAAGAGGATTCCCCTCTCAACATGGTTCAGTTTAATTCCCTGAAAAAATCTGTTTCATGATTTAACAATTTTGTACACTAGAAATGTTCTAGCTGTCCATGATGGATTATCAAACTGCAATCCTCTATAGATTGCAAAACTAACTAGAGACATGAGGTCACAAGGGAAATAACTCTGGCACAATTAAAAGGTTGTCCTAAATTGCTTTAATGCTCCGTAAGGAAGGAACTTGGACAGGCATCGCTAAATCCCTACCTAAAGTTAAGCTCAAAAATATTTCTCCCCATCAACGGTTTTGTTTTCTGCAAAATTCTTCATCTCACTCTGATTTCATTTATTAGACCTGAGTAGACTCCAGAAAGAGGTATTAACACATTTCACGTGATAAATTCTATCCCCCCCCCTCCCTTCACAACCATCCAAAGTTGCAACGTTCGGTATGCTCTTTAAGTTTGATTTCGGTTTTATCAAATCGTCCATGATTCGATCGTTTCCTCTCCCCTGAAAAGCCGTTATTGCCCATCCCAGATTTACTCACGTTTGTTCTGGCTGACCGGCAGAGAGGGCTGAACGATATGCTGCGTTTGCCTTTTACTTTTTTCCCCGCGGGGTTGAGAACCCCAGACTCCTGCTCCAGAACAAAGGGTCAATACCAAAAGAATCGTTCGCTTCGATCGGCTATCCGGCATCTTGGAAAGCTGTCGGGAAAATAAACGGATCGTATTTGAAACCGGAGGCAAACCAATTTCATTGGGTTGATAAAGTGGGATGAGGGAAAACTTGCAAATTCTCTTACCGCCTTTCAGCCTTCGCTCCTCCGCTTTGGCGCAACCCTTATAGGCTGTGAGAAGGGCAAGTCGCTGAGTCACATTGGATTTATATAGAGATCCTAGCTACAGGGACCCCCGCGAGGCATTACAGGGGAGAAGAGGAAGAGGAGGAGGAGGGCCTCGCCGGAGACACCCCTTTCGGACGTCAACGCCTTTCCAATTGGCCCAGGCGGAGTGATAGCGTCACGGCCCGGGAGTTGCATTCCAGAGCAAACAAAGGTCTCTCTTCCGAAGGCTTGGAACGGGACTAAATTTTAGAAGGTCTCTAGGGAGCGAGGGAGGGGGTTGCTGCAGTTCTTGCTGCAGCTTAGCGAATGCCTCCAGCCGGTCATATATGGACCCTCCGGGGTCAGGCATTCACGGGAATCTTCGAATGGCCGAAGAGGTTCGAGTTTTAGGAGAACCGAGTGACGACTTTAGCCTCGCTTGCAGTGTTAGGACCTGTGAGGAATCGTTACGGGAACAATAACTTCTCCCTTAAATCTGCAGTTAAATCCTATGCACATGCACTAAGCCTAAGATATAATGATCGATCATGGGTACGAACATAACTGATAGCTTTAATAGGTTTAGTTTGAACTGGGATAATAATAATAATATTCCCACTATCACTGCCATAATTATAAATAAATAATAAATAAATTATGGCAATTTATTCACTCAAATCTCAGTTCATGGCCTCAAGGCCTGTTTATATAAGTTCCCAGTTCTATTTCTCTTTCTCTCTCCCCCTTTTCCATTCCTCTGTCCATAGGATTCTTTTTCCTTTGGTGAAGGGTTTTTTTCTGTCAATTTTTATTTGGTGCTGAGAAAGTGGAAGCATGAATGGATGTATAAAGGGAATAAAAGGAATAGAATAGAATAGAATAGAATAGAATAGAATAACAGAGTTGGAAGGGATCTTGTAGGTCATCTAGTCCAATCCCCTGCCCAAGCAGGAGTCCCTACACCATTTCTGACAGATGGCAGTCCAGTCTCTTCTTGAAAACCTCCAGTGATGAATCACCAACAACATCTGAAGGTAGTCTGTTCCATTGGTTGATTGTTCTCACTGTCAGAAAATTTCTCCTTATTTCCAGGTTAAATTTCTCCTTGATCAGTTTCAATTCTTTATTCCTTGTCTGGCCTTCAGATGCTTTGGAAAATAGGTTGACCCCCTCCTCTCTGTGACAGCCCCTCAAATATTGGAACCCTGCTATCATGTCTACCCTGGTCCTTCTCTTCACTAGACTAGCCATGCCCAGTTCCTGTAACCATTCTTCATTATGTTTTAGCCTCCAGTCCCCTAATCCTTGTACCATTAAATTACAATGCTGGGGAAAAGATTGGGTATTTAACTGAAGGTGAGGAGTAGAAGCACTACCAAACACACTAACTTACACTTCCTTCTAAGTCCTAGTTTATCCCCAATATCATTTCAGTGTTCATCTATTCTTAAGCCAGCTGAAAACAATCTGATGTCTCTATTATTGATCCCTCAGGTTCCAATCATTAACAAACTCAATGCCTGTGACTGAAAAAAGGACATGTATGTTGTTTGTATCTTATGATTAATTTTAATGCTTTTATTTAGTATACTATAACTATCACTGAGTGTTGTATCTTATGATTTATTATGATTGTATTTTATGATTATGATCATGATTTGTTGTTTGCATGTACACTAAGAGCTTATGCATTGGAGACAAATTCCTTATTTGTCCAATCACACTTGTCCAATAATTCTATTCTATGTATAGGAAATGGGAGATGGGACACATAATCAAAGAAGAATTATGAAACAGTCTAGCTCAGAATGAGCTAAGGCTTATGAGAAATATTGAAAACAATAAAAAAGGACTAAGGTACCTCCCAGCTTTATGAATCTGCTCATCTATTATGTTATTAGATTTGTATACTAAAGCTAAAAATCATTAGGCTCTAAACAAGCTGGGCAAACATGGTGGGACAAAGAATAGCTGCCAAATTAGATGTACTTCACTGAGGAAGACAGCATTGGAAAGAAAGAAAAGATTCCCAACATTTTCTTTGCCAATTTTATTTTATTGGTCCTAGTTCCTGGGAACAAAGAAACATCTCATTCACTCCCACTCTGAATTCCACTCTCTATATGTATCTCATTGGAATGGGATAGTGATTTTATCTGCAGAAGGTAACTCATATAAAATTCACTGCATAATTCACATTTTTTCTTGGTTTTAGTATTTCTACATTCAGTATTCCAACATTTAGCTACATATAGATTGCTGGGAAAATGGCTAAAATGCATTTTAACTCCTCTAAATAAAACTATAATAAGTAAATTGTATACTTTATTAATGGTTTACAATCAAACAAAATGTAAAACATTATTTAGAAGAATCCACCAGTATTTTATTATCAAGATAATTTTATTATCAAGATTATTGATGTAGATGAGGAAAATGTAGTGAGTTGTGAGGTAAGAAGGAAATAAAATGAACTGCAAAAGTTGTGACTTTCAGTTATGACAATCCCAGGCTTCCCAGAGCCATAATCTTTCTTCCTGTGGCCCCTCCAAGACTTTTGGACCTGATTTCCCTAACTGTGTCTTTTGAGACTGGAAAACCTGACAACAGAAAGCCCTTGCATAGGACTGAAGGAGCTCAATTCCAAACTTCCTCAACAATTTTTTAAAGCAAAAATGCCACTCATTTCAAATGTGTATCAAAGGAAGGAAAGTGCAACTTTAAAAATGTTTCACTGGTAACATCTATAATGAGTGAATTACAGTACTAGAGGAAAATATGTTACAATCTTACAGAGTTGTTTTCAGCAGTTTAAAGTGTTTCATAAGTTTGGTTGATGGACACTGGAAATTCTTTTGGAAATATGGTCAACAACAGGCAGATCTGATATGAACTGTGAAACACCAACATATAGAAAAGACTGCTAAATAGTTGGATTCCAATGTCAGTTAAAGGGCACTCTTAGATAGCATTGCTTGATTCCCGTGGTGCCTCCATCTCTTTGCAAATGGTCAGTAGGCATTCTCAAATATTTTAGTTCTCTCACATCTAAATTTGATTGTGTTAATGTGAAATATAATTTATTTATTTATTTATTTATTTATTTATTTACATGGATTTATATGCCGCCCTTCTCCCTATAGGACTCAGGGCGGCTTACAGCATATTAAAACACATAAAACATCGTCCCCCCATAAAAACCTATTAAAAACTAAATATTTTTTTTTTCGCTGTATAATTAATTAAGATTTAGATTAAAATTGTCCCTATTTAAAAATTCTCCCTAGGCCAGACCCGCTTGTTGAAAAAGCCATGTCTTGAGGGCGCGGCGAAAAGGTAGGAGGTCCGGAATCGTCCGGATCTCGGGGGGTAGTTCGTTCCAGAGGGTGGGGGCACCCACAGAGAAGGCCCTCCCCCTGGGGGTCGCCAGCCGACACTGCTTGGCCGA